TCTTATACACATCTAGATGTGTATAAGAGACAGGTGTGAGGACGAGCTCAGATCGCGATTCGGCAATTTCCAAGGCCGTTGGGACGGTCCTGTACGCACTTGGAGCTCAGCCGTGATCTAGTACACACCTAATCCTTTTTCTTTTTTTTTTTTTTCTTTTTTTTTTTCCTAATCCTTGTTGTTGTCGTTACTCTCTCCTGCGTCTCCACCTAACCGCTGATACTCAGCATGTACCGACCTCCTTATTTGTATTTGATGGACATCAACTGTCATTAAGAGATCGAACTTTCGACAGAACATTCAGCAGAGTTCAAGACAATCGACATTGTGCTCAAATTTTGGATAGAAATTTCGGAAATAAAATATTGAGAGTCCGCACTCGGTTGATGCAGGCTTTTCTCCAAAAAAAAAAAAAAAAAAAAAAAAAGAGTCCACACTCGGTCTTAGTCCAGCAGACGAGAAATATCATACAATTCGCAAAAAAGATAGCTTTCGAAAAGACACAGCTTTCGATGCAAACGGGGGCAAACGGGAGTTACAATACTACCTAGTTAATCGGACTCTCGCAAACGGGACCGAGCGGGGGCCAAACGGGGGGTTAAAAGGCTGCGTAACTAATCGGACTCTTGGCCATGGTGTCGCTATCCATCCTCGATCCGTGGTCTTTGCACCATATCCTCCTTCCTCACCGACCCTTCACTGTGGGCCCCACTGCCAACCAGCAAGACGCCAACCAGCAAGACGCCAACCAGCAAGACGCCAACCAGCAAGACAGAGACACTTCGTTCTTGTTCTATTTGCAACTACTACCGTCTTCGCCCGTCATCACAGCTGTCCTGGAGGTAGAGCGTGCACTAGTCGTCTTCTACGTTCCCTTTCTTCGTTCTAAGATAGCCGCATATCTATCTAGTCGCACTAGAACTTCAAATTTCCGGATGCATCTCTCCGGTTTCTGAGGTCAAATTCAGTCCGGAAAATGCTAGAAAAACTGCGAGTTGTAAAAACACTCACCGATGCAATTACCTGCTAAGCGGCGTCATCAACTCAACGGCTACGCAGCAGCTGCCACCCTCTCCAAGCGTGCGGCGACGCGGCATTTTGGCTATTTGCACCCTTGGCAGCCATCCTTGACAAAGGCCTCGCTGGTCTTCGGAGTAATCACGATTCCAGACCGCGGGCGAGCAGGGCAGAAATAGGCTATGCTGTCCTCCAGGCCGTCGATATACACGTGATTCAGCTTGCCGTCAGCCATGTTGCGGTCAAATTGACAGCGGCAGAAGCTCACCCCCGGATCGAGATTGTCCATGTAAACGGCCCCTCCCACCCCTCCCTTGCCGACGACCTTGTTCCCCACGAACCTGCAGCTCTTGAAGATGGCCCCCGTGCCGTCTGTGTCCACCAAGTACACGGCTCCACCCTTCTCCTCCGCGATATTACCTTCGAACAAGCAACGGGTACAATAGAACCGACCCTCCATGTTCCACACCGCAGCACCTTTCTTTCGCCTATTGCAACGGAAGACCACGTCTGTCGCATAGACATACCTATCGTCGATCTCTATAGCTCCTCCCTGGTTGCCCTCGAAAACTGTGTTCTTAACCGTCAGGGGGACTCGCACCACCCCCCAACTCATCAGATCGACGTTGTTCGTTACCCTACAGCCAATTATTGTCGCGTTCCTGGTGTCGGAGAGAACTGGCGCTCTACCTATATTGCCCCCCCTCATCCTCGTTATCTCCAAGTTCTTCAGAAGCAGACGTTCCCCGCCATGAATGAAGCTGTACTTGCCCGCGCCGTCGATCCTGCATAGCTTGCGCCCCCTGCAGCGGCCGACGATTCTCACCTCCGGGCACGCTGTGCTGTTCACCTCTGGCAGATCGCCTCTCAGCACAACGTCTGACGTCAGAACCAGTGAGCACGTGGACGTCACCGCCTTGACCAGATCAGCGTGCGTTATCCTCTTCGGGGAGGCAGGGTGAAGCACCTGAACAGTCGCTGACGGCATCGCCAGACAGGAGCATAGCATCTGCAGCGCCAGAAACGTCCACCGAAGACACGCCATCGCTGTCCCCACGCGCAATTACGGTCACAGGCAGACAACGAAGTCCTGCAGTCTTCCCTGTTTCGACCCACCGATCTGCCGCGCCTCCGCAGTGTGTGTGTGTGTGTGTGTGTGTGTGTGTGTGTGTGTGTGTGTGCGTGTGTGTGCGTGTGTGTGTCAGGGAGGGAAGGAGGGGGTTCTTTCTCGCTCGGTGATAGTGTAATGCTCAGTTACGCACGGAAGAGCTTTTCGACAACAGCGAAGCAGCGGCGGCTTCTCCCTTCCAGCCTGAAAAATGACGTCGGAGAGTGAAAACGCACGAACGCCAGAGTACGTTCAGGAAGCGCGAGAAGGTCGAGACAGCAGGGTGTCCGTACTACGGACTTGGAAAAAAAAATCAAAAAGCGCTGTCCGACTTCTCTGGATGTACTTAATCCCGATTGCCGCTGCATTCATTTCAAGAAGTTGGTTGATGCGCATGGGACACGCGTACGGAAACGCCGCTGCTAATTATTTATTGGGAGAATTTTCGAAATGCCCCTGAGTTTCCGTTTATTTGGGATTTGCCCCTCCGACGGCCGACTTACCCTGGTTTGTCCTTCTGACAGTGATTCAAGTTTCCAGAAAAACCCTAGCGTCCTTTGGGCCTGACACATGTTCAATTTTCCCCTACTGGTACGGGTGCCACATCTCCAGTTTGCACCTACAGGATAGGCGTCCAGTAAGGCACAAGAATATTTCATATGCCCCTACCGGTACAGAAGCGGCCCCTGGGAGGGATGCTACGGGTGCACCTTTTTTTTTTTTTTTTTTCCGTAAATATTTGTCTGGTGCCCCTGTAATTTGCGTTATTTTGCGTCGCGCCCCTCCGACGGCCGATTTACCCTGTGGCGCCCCTCTGGGCAGGGTTCAAATTTTCATAAGACCCCCGTATCGTTTGGGCCTCAATCTTTACAGGTCCCTAATTTGTGGGGTGCCCCTACCGGATGGCCGTTAAAAGCCAGCGGAAAATTTTTCGAGATGCCCCTACTTGTACCATTTGTTGCCAAGCCATTTGCTGCTATGTCATCTGCTGCCACGTCATCTTCTGCTACGTCATCTTATGCCACCGCATCTGAGTCGCCCACAACTGCCACATCTTCTACTGCTTTCCAAGATGCAGGGGCGGGTGGACAGTCTGAGTCCACTCTGAGGGCAACAGCGACGTCCATGAGTGCAAAGGCGGGAAAGAAAAAGTCTGGGATGAAAATAGGGGGGGGGGAGAGAGAGAGAGAGAGAGAGAGAGAGAGAGAGAGAGAGAGAGAAGTCACCAACTCACCCTTTCCCTCTCTCTCTCTCGCTCACACACACACACTTGCAGGGAAGTGGACGATATGGCACAGGGCCCGATGGAAATGCGAATTTGTGGTGCCTCACGGCTGCGGGGGCATTGCAGAAAGATGGCTGCCCGTCATGAGGGCATATGGCACAGGGCCCGACCGTCAGTCCAAGGAGGGTGTCCTGGAAACTTGCGGTCACTACCGACAAGGGCCTGTGGAAAATAACTTTTGGCCCAGGGGTGCGACAGGGTAAATCGGCCGTCGAAGGGGCGCGTTACGAAATACGGCAAATTACAGGGGCGCCAGACAAATTTTCCCTTAAAAAAAATGAAAACATAAAAAGCAGAAAAAACAAGACACACACACATAGACAACCCCCCCAACCCCCCAACCCCCCAACCTCCACCCCCACTCATCAATACATGCAAAATGAGAACGAACCTTTCCTTGATGAGGGAAGATACACTCAAACTCTTAGCAGTCCTATTCCCCTCGAGCAACACCTTTCTTCTACGTAACTAGAACTAACTACTAACCTCCAGATTTGATCTTACCATTGGTTTCGTCATAACCAATAACACCCATCTATTCTTTTACTCTACCCGATCCCATCAAGGATTGGGAGATATCCTCATTCCTCACGCCCTTCACCTCAACACCTCCACGCAGTCCCTCTCTCACCTGACTCCTCTGCACAATTAATGCCAAAACTAACAACGTCGACATACTCGCCCGGGGTCAAAACCCTAAATTCGCATTTTAGTTCGTCAAAAACGACCAAGAAACGGCCTAGTAAATCGATATTTCTCTCTTCCCCTTCAGAATCTTCATTTCCACCATCTCTCCTCGCATGTCTATTTGGTTACGGTGTCGGACAGTCACTTTCATCCGAGGAATTTCGGGGATCGAGGCCAGCGGACAATGACATGGGAGTATTGGAGCAGTTTGAAGAGGCCGAGGGGTTGAAGGCCCGGCGAGGCTATCCCTAGTGGTTTTGCTGCCATGTGGGCCGGAGTTCTTTTCCTGCCTTATGGCATTATTCCGTATCTTCTGCGAGAATTGTTTCGCGCTACTATTATCATTAATATTATTGTTATTCTTGTTTTGTTATACCAATCAAGCCGAGCGTGGGTCAACGGGCACGAGTGGCGTGTGCCTTTGCGGGCGTACTGCCCGCCAGCCAAGAGCTGCTATGAAAAGGTTGTATTGGGCTAATCCGTTGGGGGCCGAGAGAAGGCCAACTATCCCTGAGCAGAGTGGTCCGGAGCATAGTAAGGCGACCCATAACCACTCTGGGCACCGACTGGTTCATGGAACCCCGTTTCACTTGGGCCTCTTAAAAGGTTTTTTATTTGAGGTATTTACTACCGCCACCGAAAATTGGCACCTGAGCCGGACCCGGCCGGGCTCACGCTTCAGGCTTTATAGCAGGCTCGCCGTCTGTCCGCTCATCGGGTGGGGTCGACGCCTGCATAGGTTGCAAGCAGCGGGGCCGTCGGCCTATGGGCCAGATCGAGTTGGCAAATAAAGTTTTTGCATACTCCTTCTCAGATTTCGACTTCCTTCACCACCGTCTGGGTGTCTATATTGGCAACCTTTGTGGTGTCTGGATTAACGCACAGGCTGCTAAGAAATCGAAGGGGTGTATGACGCCTTCCGAGTCTTGAGAACAGGGGAAATCCCTGGTACGCAACTCATTATGATATTGCCGAGCAAATCGTTTTCGGACCGGGTATAGGGGCGGAAGGCCAATCGAGCTTTCGAGTAGTTAGCAGTGTGTGAGATCACCCGATGATAGCCAGACCAGAGTCTGACTGCATTAGGCGTTGAGGAACGCTACAGTCGGATGTCGCGTTAGTGGCATAGGGAGACGAGGCGACGGAAGCAAGAGAAGAAGGATTGGATCGAGACGTGTTTTCGGACTAAGTGCACACAGATAAGGGAGAGGAGACGAAGTGAACCTGTACGTAGGTCTGCGCCGGGGGCGCTCGGAGTTGAACACGGGGAAGACGACGAACACGACTACCGTAGGAGGGGTGTTTGGCGTTACTCACCCGATTCTTATCGGAATCGGGCGGGCAAGGATTCAATGTCGAGGTTCTTGCATGAGGTGAAAGGTTGGGTTTAATACTGAGTCTACTGATGGATACCTAAATAAATGGATACTGTGCGACGTGGGGATCCACCGAAATGTTTCAAAATCATGTTGTTGTCGATGCCATCCTCCGCAGGTACGTACAAGTCACAGGCAAGCGCACCAATCAAGAGACAAACCTTTAATCTTAATTTGAATCAGAACTAAAATTTTGGCCGGCAACCGCGCTGACTCTATAATCATCAACAAAAAAAAGATCATGCGCGCCTGAAGTGTGTGTGCCCAAACAATCTCTAATCTAGTCAACTTATTAAGTCAACATAAGCAACAGACACAACCGCATTTCGCGCGGTATACTCAGATCCTAAACCAAACTTATTTTATGTCACTTACAAAAATCATGGCGGATACCCTTGTAAAGGTATTCACGCCGACACCGTGTTCACGAGAGAACATGCGGGGGCTGCTACCGACCTGCAGGTGGGCGATACCGGCCAGGGGACAACTGGTAGCATCAGGGACCATGCCAACAAGACCAATCTTTGTGCCTCTCATGTTGTATTATCCAAAACTGTAGAGAATACAAAAAACAATTATCAAAGTCGTGCAAAAGACAATACTCACTTCGTAATGGTCAGAGGAAAAGTTCCAGGTTCTGATGGAAGTAGCATGAAATTTTACGACTGTTTAAAGTTTGAGACGAGAGACGCTTTGCTGAAAATCTCTAACAACACCCTGACAAGAGGAACATTCTCTGAAAGTATGCGACACAGTATCATAACCTTGTTGTATAAAAAAACTGAGAGAGATGAAATCCATAATTGGAAACCCATCTCGAGGCCTAATGTTTCTTACAAGAGATTAGCAAAGATCCTTGCGACAAGGCTGACCAAATATCTTATAGGTTTAGTAGCGACCGATCAAGCATCGTTCGTACAAGGCCGATCGATCTTTGACAATATTATGGTTGCGATTGTGACCCTAGAGATTGTAGAAAAAGAAGATCACCTGCTGCCTGTCCAGTGTCCTCCTTTTGGATCTAGAAGGCTTATGGTTGGGATAACTAGAGTTTTGTACTTACCAAGTTACCACGCTTTACAAGATGGGATTCGGAGACTGTTCTTGCAGATGGGTAGTCATTCTATATATTCACTCTACACCAGAAGTCATGGTTAATCGATTTTTATCCGAGTCTTTCCACCTTACCCGGTCCTTGAGGCAGGGATGTTCGCTCGTGCCACTTGTTTTTGTATTGCAGGTGGAGGTCATAATGTGAAACATCTGTCACCACCTGGAGATTAGAGGCTTAGCACTGGGAAACAAGGAGTGCAAGGCAAAAACCCTCGCAAATGACCTCTTCGCCATCTGTGAGGACTCACATGAGGCACTGAAGGCCCTGAAAACCTTGTTGGGTGAATAACACTGAATAATGTCTGTTTTCCAAAGCCGCAGTAAACTGCTGAAAGTCAGTTTACTTTTTACCACAAGGAATATCCCTCGCTGCGGATTGGGGGACGAAGCGGATAGAGAAGGGGGAAGCGGAAAGGTTTTTAGGTGTAATGATTGCCCTCGATACTTGTCGAGACACACAAGAGGAAATTTTGCAAAATAAAGTAATAGAAAGATTGAAATCATGGGGATTGGCCCCGCATCTTTCCATCTTTCGTCGGACATTAATAATCAATGTTTCTGTATTCTCACTTCTTTGGTTTGTTCATCGAGTTAGGAAGTTGAGCCCCCCATTTATGAACCTAATCCGACAGGTTTTAGCGAAATTCTTGTAGAAACACAAGTCG